ATTGGGATCATAACTCTAGTGCCTTTTAAAATACACCCATCCTGCAGCGTCAGCTCATTATCATTGTAACCGTATCGCGTCACACTCGTTCCTGACTGCAAAGCCTCTACTACAGCCTCGTATTCCGAATCCCTTTGGGTTTCATCCGCAATCGTTTGGCGGTCAATCGAAATGTTGTTAATTTGTTGCAATTGGAAGGCACAATTAACGTCAATAATGTTTGTAGCTATCATGTCAACTGGGAATCGGGATAGGTAGTCTGCATTACTGTTCTCAGCTGATGATCTATATGCTGTAGTCAAAGCCGGAAAGAAAATGTGCGTAGTGGAAAAGTCTCATAGTGCTCATTGCCGGTAGTGTTTTATACGGATTGAAGATTATCGTTAGTGGTTTGTGATCTGTGACTAGTATAAACTTCCTACCGTAACAGTAGTGAAAGAATTTTTTTAGTCCCCAAAAGATTGATGTCGCTTCTTTGTCAATCTGACTGTATTTCTTTTCGCTGGTAGTGAGCGAACGCGACGCAAAGGCAATGGGCCTGTCTGAGCCATCTGGCAGCCTGTGAGAGAGCACAGCTCCGAGCCCGCTGGACGACGCGTCTGTGGCGAGTACTAGAGGTTTAGTCTGATCGAAATGGACTAAAACTCGTTCACTAAGAATTTCTTTCCTAATTTTGTTGAATGCATCCTCACAATCAAATGACCATGTGAATTCGGTGTCTTTCTTAAGTAAATTATTCAGTGGGCATGAGATAGAAGCTAAATTGGGTATGAACTTATTGTAGTAATTGGCCATGCCCAGAAATGTACGTAATTCACTAATGTTGCTCAGACGGTTCGTATCTAGAATTGCTTTGACCTTGTCTTTGGTTTTATGAAGACCGTCTTTATCGATAATATGCCCGAGGTACTTAATACTTTTTTGCATAAAATGACATTTGTCCTTGTTGAGTTTCAAATTGGTCTCTTTCAATTTTTGTAAAACAATCCGGAGCCTAGCGAGCAATTGTCCTTCCGTTGATCCCTGTATGATAATATCGTCAAAGAAACATTTGACTCCAGTAATATCCTTGAGTAATCTATCCATGAACTTTTGCCATAGATTAGGTGCCACTTTAACGCCGAACATAAGGCGGTTGACCCTGAACGTTCCCTTGTGCGTGCTCAGCGTCTGCATCATGGCACTCTGTTCATCCATTAGCATAAATGTAGATAAGCCTGGCTAATATCTAACGTGCAGAATATTTCGCCGCCGTTCATCTCCACCAAGATGTCTTCAATAATAGGAATCGGGTACTGTTCGACTTTAGTATATTTGTTCAGCGTGACTTTATAGTCGGCACAGAGCCGGATGCTCCCGTTCGGCTTCACGATCGGCACAACCGGTGTACCCCATTCAGCATTGTCTACTTTCGTAATGACTCCTTGTTGACAGAGCCGTTCTATTTCCTCGTCTACTTTTTCTTTTAGTGCGTAGGGAATACGTCTTGGCTTCACAAAAATAGGTGTGGTGTTATCTTTCAAAGCGATGTGCCCTCTATAATTAGAAATGCAGCCTAATGTGCCATCGAATATACAAGCATACTCCTCTAAGAGATCTTCTAAGTGGGAATGCGTGGATTCCTTGATGGCGTTGATGTTAGCTAGGTCCATTTTTACCAAACGTATCCATGCACGACCAAATATAGGATCAACGTCTTGCTTAATTATATAAAGTTTGCCGTTGAATGATTGATTCTTGTATTTACAAGTGACGTACACAACACCTAGAGGTTTAATTATTTCTCCAGTATAAGTTCGCATTGTAACTTCAGTGTTAAATATTTTTCGACCCGTATTTAGTTTTCTAAAATCTTTAGCAGACATGGATGACAGCGCAGCGCCTGTGTCTATTTCCATTTCCGCGCCTTTACCATCTATGTGTATATTTATCATGTACTTGTCAGAGTTGTTGGACCGAATGATATTGGTGTTCCAGGGCGTGTCGTCATCGACGGTATCTGATGAGTGCGGTTCTCTGTGTATGGATGTTTGTTCCGATTCAATTTGTTTATTTTGGTATTCAACGATTGCAAACAAACACGTGCTATGTGTCCTTTGCGCTGGCATTTGTTACAGATATCGTTGATAAATTTACAGACTGATGCGCGGTGATCAGCGCTTCCGCAGCGGAAACATTTGCCTCGTAAGTCGCGTATTGATATAGGCGCTCTATTGTTTGTCGTGGGGTTTTTAAATCGTGTGACGACTTGGAAGATGTTTTTACATGATTGTGATGGCTGTGCTATGAAGTCGCTGTCTGACTTTGCCATCTCTATCGCGGTTGCAGTACGAACTAGGTCTGCAAAATCAGTTACAGATCTGTTTTCTAAGATTTTTGTCTTAATATCGTTGTCACGAAGTCCTCTAATAAACTGTAATGTTGAAAAGTTGTTACAGATGGATTTCTTACAACCGTCGCATGTAAATTCGCAATCTTGGGCTAAACGTTTCAATTCCGATGTATATGTTATTATTGATTCATCTACTCCTTGTACTCGTGATATGAACTTGTGTTGGCAAGCCCAGATACTTGGTTTAGGGTCTATATACTCTTCTAGGGTTTTAACGAGTACACTGAACTCTAGTTCACGGGGGTCGGAGGGCGAGCAGAGATCATATGCCTTCTGATGTAATTCCGGTGACAGAGAAGATAATAACATTAACGTTTTGGTGCGCATGTCCTCGTAATTGTACAGTTGTAAATACATTTCCAAACGTTTTACAAAATTTTTAAATGTTTCTTTTTCATGAAAAGGTTGTAAGTTAAGTTTTGGTGGCAATGAGCTTGTTGAAGGTGCGACGAGTGCGTCCTCGTAGTTCTGCGATGGCGCGTGAACTACTGTTGGTGTAGGGCGCAGCTTTTGAAGCTTCAATTTAATATTGATTATTTGTTCCTGAGTACTGTACCTCTGTTCGACCTCAGCTTCGAAATCGGCTTCGATTTGAGATTCGATGTCCGTCTGTACCATGTCAAACTTCTTTTCATAAATTTCCGGGTTTGAGAGTCTGACGTTAGCTTCATACTCTGTAATGTTTTCGTGAATTTCTGAGAATTTGTGTTCCAGTTTTGTCAATTGGCCGCGTATCGATGTACGTGTTCTGTATAGTCGCGTGAGTTCGTCCATTGTCGCCAATTTGTAGTATATTCATAAAAATACAGAAATCACTTTAAGACATTTTATTGAATAATGGAATAATATGTCAAACGTAACCCAGGTAACAATGTACCAAAGAGATATATAACAGTTATATTCAATATGAAACGACTACTACCGTTGCGTTTTGGGGCTAAAAAGGTACTAGATATGTATTGATGTTTTCTAGGACAGCACTTTGTCATTGCTCCCAAGTCAATTAAGTTTTTAATTGTGATATGCAATTTTTTCTATAGTCGTGTGGCGATAAACTAATGCCGGGTATTACAGACTGGTGGTGGTATCTGTTTACATAATGGTATTGCTGACGAAGCTGCATATTGGTTTTGCAGGTGGCTGTCGCCTAAAACCATTAACGATCTTCTTTAGAATTGTATTAGATAGGTAATTGAGTTTTAACTACGGCATGTTTCGTTAACACTTATTAATTGCACGTATGTGGGATTTAAATTGAAATAACTCATAGTTGATTTCTTATTGCAGAAAACTCATGGTTAACCCCAACTTAATTTTATTATAAATATACTTTTCTTTGAATAATATAATTATTAAAATCGGCTCGTAGTCGATTTCATTATCGCGGTCAACTCAAGGTTAAACCTGACGTAAATTTATTTAAAATTAACTTTACTTATTAGCACGTACTAATATTACCCATACTGTGTTAATTAAAATCGACTTGCAGTCGATTTCATTACCATGGTTAACTCGCAGTTAACCTGGAAGTAATTTTATTTCAAAAAAATACTTGACTTATTAGCACGTAGGTACTAATATTGATCGAATAAAAATCGATTCACAGTCGATTTCGTTACCGTGGTTAACTCGCAGTTAACCCCGAAGTAATTTTATTTTTATTACTTGTTATCACGTAGGATCTAATATTGTTCAAATTAAAATTGACTCGCAGTCGATTTCATTATAGTGGTTAACTCGCAGTTAACCCCGACGTAGTTTAAGTTAAAAAATATACGTTACTTATTAGGACGCAGGTGCTAATACTGTTCAAATTAAAATCAACTCGCAGTCGATTTCATTATCATGTTTAATTCGCGGTTAACTTCGAGGCAGTTTTATTATAAATCATGTAAAATTCACATATTAATGTATCTGTTCAGATTTTCATCCACCCATGTTCGATTTGGTTATCGGGGATAACTCGCAGTTAACCCGATGTTTTGTTAAATGTAGGTTAGATTCACATTTGCGATGTATGAAACCGAACATTTATTATAATTGCGGAAGTAGCAAGTAGTGCTATATGATAAAAATGGCTATTTTCATTTTTTATTTTCATTATTTATGAGCGTAAGAAAAAATCTTACCTTGATCAATGTCCGACTCGTCCGAAGATATTATGATCCTATAACGCCGACGACGTTTGGCATCTGTATTTTCCAAGTATTTCAGTTTACTTTTATAATATTCGATTTTTTCTAAGTTTGTTCGCTTTGACATTTTAACGGAGCTGTGGAGGTGTGCTTGTTGCCACGCACGAAAAAGGAATGACGATAGAAAATGGCGGTTGGTGCCTGGTAGGGAGTGTCAACGTCAAAACATTTTTTTTTCTCTAAAAACCGTGCGCTGTTGCCTAGCAAGTTAAGGAAACTACCTGGTTAAATATTATATCGAGAATGAAGCGACGAAATATAATTTCATGTGGTTTGTATTATTATTACCACTTTCAAGTGGTAAAACTTTTGACGTAAGATCACATGTAGCTTTATTATACCATGGGTACGAACTCTTAAACAAATGTTTACTTTTGTCATGCGCTACATTTATTTCTCCTGATTTCGTCTAGTATCCGATTGGGAAGGAGAAGTGTTAGACATGGCGAGGATATCCCGATTGGACATGGGAGCTTACCTTTGCATAGCCAGTAATGGAGTGCCTCCCACCGTCTCGAAGCGAGTCAAAGTCAGCGTTGATTGTAAGTTTTTATTAACTCGTGAGATTGTAGTCAAAGGTGCGTCTATATTTTACATAAGAAAAAATTCTAACTATTTTCCTTTAAGGGAAGAACGTATTAGTAATTAATCTTCAGTGAAATTAAAAATTATAATCATTGTAAAAAGTGTACTAAGCAATTTACAAGTCATCACATCAAATAACAAAGAATACAATATATATTAAAAAAATTATAGCCACGGCATATACTGAGTTGTGCCCATTCAGTATCTAAGTTTAATTTTAATTTATTTTTATTTTTACCTACGTACAATTTAAAATGAATGGTACTGAATAAATTTTTCTTTTTTTCAATAATGTTTTGTTATGAAATTTGGCTACTGATAAATATATTCAAATGGGCTTGTGCTTGTCTTGTCCAAGTAATGGATTACATAACATATCTTAACCGTTTTAAAATAACCTTTTCTACTTAGTTCCACCAATGTTATGGATACCACACCAGCTAGTAGGAGCCCCACTCTACTATAACGTGACTCTGGAATGCTTCACTGAAGCACACCCAACATCTTTGAACTATTGGACTCGAGATGACGGTCATATGATACACGAAAGTCCTAAATACCACATGGAGAATTCTGTTGGGGTGCCAGCGTATAAGACACATATGAAACTGTTGATCAGACATATTGTGCAGGAAGATTATGGAACTTATAAATGTGTGGCAAAGAATCCTAGAGGAGAGTCTGATGGCACTATACGTTTGTATAGTAAGTACCTAGAAATAGTTATACATAACTTTATTAAATAAATTTTACTTCATTAATGTCGTTACTCAAAAAATATATGATTAACTATAAAACTAACACAATAAAAACATTGATTGCTTTATAGGAAATGAAACTATTTTATATAATTTTATATATATCTTTGTTTTTTCAAACAAACCAACATTTCGAGCTCTTTACAGATCACATGGTCTTGATGACGGTTTGTTTGAAAAAACAAATAAACGCGATTTAAATCCGGAAAAATAGTTTCATTTCCTATGTGTAACAATCGCGAAAACCTAAGAACTCGATACATATTACTTTAGTTATTTTTTGAGATAAGTAATAAACGTTAATTGTTGTGCAGCTTCTTCTCCACCGACAACAACTCCGGATCCCCGCGCGATGACTGTCCCACCACCTTCGCGACCGCCGCGTCGTGATACCCCTGCCACTGATAAAGGTAACACATATTCAACCTTATTTACACTGATACTTACACCGTAACTTGATATAGGCTCTCATATGGATAACAAGTTTCACACAATCTGACTGCCAATTTATTTGTAACGTACACACACACCTAATAGAGAACCGAATATTTCTCTTTGATATTATTTTGTATAGATTGTTCGTATTCGCGACTAGACGGCCACACGTTAGCTACAATAGCGGTAGGCGGCAGTTTACAGTGGTACCTTTATGTTTCTAAATTGTTGCTATGGTGATGAAAAATACCGTGACAAATTAAAAAGAGATGTTGTCGGTGATATGGGTGATATATCAAAGATATCGACTTAACACTCCACTGCTACGATTTCGCATATCTCTGAGGCGCACCTATAGGAAGTACATGCTTAGTGACGAGTAATGTTTTTGTAAGCAATATAACAACTAAGTACTAAGTATTTATGATAATATTTACTTACCATTTCATTATCATCATCGACATCACTTGAATAGGACTGAATGTACCGTACTGACGAAGTTTCACGATTTGGAAAACTTGTGAAGTTCCCAAACTGCATTCGATCAGCATAAAGGAACATGGCCAAAACACTCTCCTTAAAGAAGACCCCACCAGTAGTGGCACGTACAATAATAATAATAAAAATAACGCACACATTCAACATAGCCCCTAGCACTAGGGAAACCCTGTGTCGCGGGTACCATGGACTCATACATTGACAACCACAAATTACACCCAAACTCACGAGAGAAATAAAAGTAGGCCAAGCAAATATTTCTTCCGCTCTGGGAATCGAACCTGAGGCCTCTGCGTGACAGTCAGACTGCGTGATGGTAACCGTTCGGCCAACTCTGTCACCGATCTCACCTTACGAAAACAGACTTTTGTTTTTTGTGTCTATTTTTCCAATGTCTGCAGAAGAAAATTCAGAATCATGTAATGGTAACAATAATCATTCACAGTTACGGCAACACCCGCTTCATTCTAAAAAAAAAGGTCTAATTTTGTTTCCAACCCAAAATACGACCTTATTTCAACAAGAGTATTGGGTATGCAACCAATACAGAACCAGTGGTTTCAAATTTTTTCACTATTTGATGCATAGTATAATCTTTAGGGCGATTACGTTAACCATAAAGTTCTCGTAACGCACGAAGCGTTTGACAAATTAAACTGCCGCTTCCATAATAAAGTTTAACCGTTCAACGTGCTCTTCAACTGTATAAACGACTCATCTTGACATACTGAAAATCATCTTGAACATTTTCTGAGTCATCCTCATCCCACATAAGCTTGAAACATATGGTATTAGGGCAACGGCCCTTGAGTACATGGAAAAGTACTTAAAAATCGAACACAATAATATAATAGTAAAACTAATCAGATTACACTGTATAACGACAAATGCAGGAATTCCTCAAGGTAGCGTTTTAGGTCCATAAGTGTTCCTCGTTTTATTAACCATTGTATTTGCTGACGATACAACTCTCATAACAATACAAACAACTCATATAATAAAACTCCGACGTAAGTAAAATACCAACAGACGTGATAAGTTGAACGAACTAATGTTCGTCAAGTCATTAAGAGTACCTCAGCTCTAATTCAAATTTTTCCCGTACGAAATACGGTTCATTTTGGATCGAGCGGCATGGCTTTATTTCAGAATATTTTTTTCTACAAACGAAATAAAAACCATTTGAAAAGTATACGTGTACTATTTAGTTCAGTTGATAAAAAAAATCATTGGTACATGGGGCGCACTATAACTTTCTGGAATGAATAAGAAAAAAGTACTGTAAATGGTCAGAAATGATTTTATTCTTTCTCAAAATATTTTCCGTTAGCGTTAATGAACTTTTTCATACGAATGAACCAATTTTGAAAACATTTATGCCACTCTTCCGTGACAATCTCTGAAACATATTTTTCATACTCTTCGACAGGCTCTTCAGGTGACGAAAACCGTTGACCACGTAACTGGTTCTTAATTTTTTGAAATAAATAAAAGTCACAAGATGCCAGGTCGGCACTGCACCTACGCGGGATGGCTCATAAGGTCAACGTTGTTCACCTTCAAAAATTCATTTGTCTGTCTGGCCGTGTGAGAACTGGCATTATCGTGGTGCAAGATGATACGGTATTTACGGTTATTTTTACGGAGTTTATTAATAACTTCCGGCAAAGAAATGATCGTGTACCAATCACTATTCACGGCACAACGATTCTCCAAAGCAACGGTAGCTACGTGTCCAGTTTTATTAAAAAAAGAAGCAATCATCCGCTTCTTAGAGGCACTTTGCACGCGCTCCTCTTTGGTTGGTTTCGGCTTATCTCGAAAGACCCATACGCTCGATTGCTGCTTTTTTTTGGGATCGTAACTAACTAATCCATGTTTCGTCACCTGTTACTATGTTCCACACCAAATTTGATGCCCATTCGTTGAATCTGGTATGCATGACATTGCACCAAGTGACGCGATCCGTTTTTTAAGTTTCAGTCAAATTGTGTGGAATCCACCGGGAGCACAGCTTTATCACACCCAAATGTTTGTGTAGTATTGATTGTATGTGACTCGTGCCTATGCCTAAAGACGCCCGAATCTCATGGTACTTGGATCATAACGCGCACACCATCGATATTTTTGTTGTTCACAGCAGTGGACGGGTGACTATCACCAAATTCGTCACTGAGATTCACACGACCGCGTTTGAATTCTGCAAACCAGCTATAAATAGTCGTTTTGCATGGTGCTTCGTAGCCAAAAGCAGTTTGAAGCCGAGCGAAGCTCCGCTGAGCTGTTACATTACACTTAGAGTCGTAGAAAATCATAGTACGAAAATTTTCACGAGTTAAATCCATGTTTATGTAGAGAACCAATTTCTAAAATGACGCCACAATGTAAAAGTAAGTGACAGTCAGATGAAACAAACTGTATTCTACAGCCAAAGAGTTCCATTTTCAAATGTTGTAATTACTTTTTAAATATTGTTTATATAAGTGGCCAGTTCCGGAAACTTATAGTGCGCCCTATGTATATATAACCAATTGAATACAGCGGTTTTCTTGTAAAATTTCGAGGTAAGGTTTGTGTTTTTTAATGAATTTCTAGGAATCGTCTTTTCGCACCATACAGTAATCAGTGTATATCCTCAATTTTACTATATATTTTTTCCTCGCTGTTATGCAGAATCAACCAAAGCCATTTGAGGTTGTATAGATTAATATAACTTAAATATTAATAGAAGTAAAACTAACTTTTAAGCTTTTAGATTTTACAACTCAAATCCCATACCAGTTAAAATTCATTACAATGCTGATAATATAGACGATATGTGTCTACATTTAAATTTCTTGTGTTAACAATCGATAAGCTCCTTAGCTGAAAGGAATACATCGAACAAATTTGGATGATGCTAAATAAATTTGTTTATGCTTTACGAAGATTAAGGCAAACAGTCTTTCGGTAAACTGCGCTGACGGTCTGTCACGGCTACATTTCGTCCATGCTCAGCTCAGCTCATTGTTCTATGGGGCAACTCAGTACTTTTAGATAGAGCTAAATACAATAATATAATTGTATAATAATATTACTGTATTCTGGCAAATACACGTGTATCTGAATAAAATAAAATTTCAGACACCTATCGCGTTGTTCACTGTGTTATTCCCAAATCCTTTAGAAAATCTGTAACACAACAATTGTCTCTTTATGACACATGAATCATAGCAATGAAAGAATCTATGCTAATACGTTTATATCTCCTCACCACTTGCCATGTCACTTGTACTGTGTTTATTACCTACATGCGTTTATTACATGTTTTACACTCAAATGGACTAGGAAATTTTAAACAAATTTTTCCCATAAAGTTGGAGTTCCTAATGAACCTGGAAGCAACTTAACCTCCTTACTAGCGTCAGTATGTTCAATAAAAATAGATGGATTATACAGAGCAAGCAAAGTGCGGAATACTAATATATATTTCAAGTCACTAAGAGCATACTGCTGATCCTGACCCAATAGCCATGGTGACATTTTCTATAAAATTTTGTTAAAGGTCGAGCAATAAATCACGAAATAGTATAGCAGTATGATTAATTTTCTTAAAAAGGTAGTTAAACTTATAAATTATCACATATTTTGCATGAAAAATCACGATCCGCAGCAGTATTTTTAGCACCTGACCAAATTATGTTAATAGTAAACCTACAGAACATTAAAAAAATACACATTCAGCTAGTTTTAATGTAAGATTCGCCTCTCTGAATTGCTGAAATATTGTCTCTAAGCTTTCTAATTAATCACTTACACCTTACCAAACTAATACTACCAAAATATTGTTGATGTAAGTAACTGCGTTAATGAACCTTCACGTACAGCTTTGTTCACTAAGCGCTGAAAGACAGCATGTGCCTTCGCCAAACCAAATAACACTATATCGAAGTCCCACTGTCCGTTAGGAGTGGTATTAGGCCTCAATTCCTCTGCAAAGAGCATTCAATAGTAGCCGGTAGTCAGATGTAATGTAGTATGAAATCGTTACCAGCTAACCGATTCAAGCGGTGCTTCACGCGTGGTAATGTATAATGATTTATGATTGTTTATTGAAGATATCTTGGACTAATCATTGTCTTCGCGCAATCTTTTGTTACCAGTTTTTTTTGGTAATACTATTATATTAATTATATTTTATTATTATATTTATTAATTGTACCACATCATAGCTCGTCTAGTGATGAGGCATAATAATCTCCATATTTATTAACTAGAGAAATTTATATTTATCTTTATCCAAAACATAGTTGGCTACGTTAAAGTACCTACTCCAATCGTATCATATTAAATCTTAGCTTTAAGTAGCCAAAATAATTTGGACGCGAGGAATAAACCCGTCTTTACAATATTTAAAGGAACTTTAAATTTAATTTTGTATTAAATTAATATTCAATTATTTTTGTGAAACTACTCCACTAGTTTGTTATAATTATCA